TTTGGTGATGCTTTGTAGGCAAAACAGGATGAAAGCAAATTGGCAGACTCTGACCCACTCAGAAGACGAGGCTGAAGGAAGATGACATGAATCACTGATGGGCTGGTCTAAGCATAGTGAAAGGGCCCAACAGAGAAGTGAAAGGTTGATAGACAGGTCGCGCATGTGGGATGAAGACGCAGATCAGCTGGCAAAGTTGGAGAAACCTCCCACATCACACTAGCTCTTTGAGACATGCTGCCACCACCTGGGCAATAGACAATTTTGAAGTATGAGAAGATTTTAGTTGTGAGTATCAGTTAATTACAATTATAGAATCAAAAAACATACTTTCATCTTATGAAATCAACATTTTTTGCCAAGTCTTGGGACATGAAAAAAGCGCAGGGATTTTGGCCAGATGCGTTTAGAATCCTGCTCTACTTTTTAAGTCTCTGGTTCCTTATCTGTAAAATGGGTATAAGAATACGATCCTATGGAGTTGTTCAGTCTCAGGATTAAGCGATAATAGATGGGAGGCATCTAGCCCAGTACCTGGGACATAGTAAGTACTCAATAAGTAGCTTTAAAAAAAATTTTTTAGTGTGATCTTCCAAGTATCACTAAAATCTGATTATCACTTTTTTAATCACATAAATTTAATCCACATGTATTCGTGGGCCGGCCTGGTGGTGTAATGGTTAAGTTCCTGTGCTCCGCTTTGGCGGCCTGGGGTTCGCAGGTTTGCATCCTGGGTGTGGACCTACACACTGCTCGTCTAGCGACGCTGTGGTAGCATCCTACATACACAGCAGAGGAAGACTGGCACAGATGTTAGCTCAGGGCCAATTTTCCTCACCAAAACAACAACAAAAATGAAACATATTTGCATTGTGTTTCAATGGAAGGAAAAAATTCACAAAATAAAACTTAGGAAAGAAATCAATTCCAACAAAATAAGTCAAGTGTGTGAAGTGTTACTGTAGAGAAATAAGCACAAAATGTTGAGCAGGTAAGAAAGCCCTCCAAATCTTTAGTCTAGATTATTATAATAGAATCTTATTCAGGTTTCACTCATTCACAATTTTGACAGGAGTCAGGGTGAAATGTAACTTTGTATCATTCAAGGGAAAAAGGCTTTTAAGCAAACAAATGACAAAGATGAGAACTTACCTTTTTTTTTTTTTGTGAGGAAGATCATCCCTGAGCTAACATCCATGCCAATCCTCTTTTTTTGCTGAGGAAGACTGGCCCTGAGCTAACATCTATTGCCAATCCTCCTCTTTTTCCCTTTTTCTCCCCAAAGCCCCAGTAGATAGTTGTATGTCATAGTTGCACATCCTTCTAGTTGCTGTATGTGGAACGCCACCTCAGCATGGTCGGACAAGCGGTGCATCAGGGCGTCGGTGCGCCCCCAGGATCCGAACCCAGGCCGCCAGTAGAGGAGTGCGCACACCTAACCGCTAAGCCACGGGGCCGGACCCCGAGAACTTACCTTCTTAAGAGAAAAAACTGTTAGAATTTTTAAGGCTCCACTTTCAGAATATAATTGTATAGAGTAGTGTGGATGGGGATGGTGGTGTGATATGCTACATAAGAATTATTCTGATGCAAAGACAAACCCTCCTTAATTAATAGTGTAAGGTTTAGTTAATTTGGTTACAGTTACATGAATAAGATTTTACTTCTTAAAAATAAATACAAGCAGACCTTATTTCCTTGTTATTCTAAGTTGGTGTTCTGAAAGACATTTGAGAGAATAAAAACCTGATTAACAATCTTTTCAAATAAAGAATAAGACCTGAAGAAAACCAGCTATGACCTTTCCACTAAATTCCTTATTCTGCTGCTGCTTATTGAAGCAGAAGGCAGAAAAATGGCCAAATCCAGTCCAAACGACAGACTTAAAGCTGAAAGAACACCAGAGATAACCTAGTACGCCTTCCACATACAGAAGAGGAAACAGGCTCAGAGCGACTGAGAGCATACAGATCCGCAGAGACAGGGCCTGTGAACCTCAACGCACAAGCTAAGACTCCTTCCTACAGAAAGTAGTCCACAGTATCTGAACTAATCTTGACACCAACTTTCATTACAGCAATGCAGGCTGCAGTAAGGAACTCAGCTGTGGCAAATCCCTATGCTATTCCTGGGTTTGCAGCCTGCCCTGGAATTGGAAGCCAGATCAGTAATACTGGACTGTAAAGGCATGGTCCACACTAGAGCCAAGGAGCTACAAAGGCTTTCTCCTTAGGTGCCTTTTCTTCTGGCCCAAGACTCCTATGCTTTTAAGGGACACAGCAGAGCAAACTATTGGGGAGGCAGGAACTGGGAAAGCTGTCTTATCCATGTTTAAAATAAACCACACACACATAGACCTCTGGAGTGAATGATGGTAAAATAAATTGACACCCCCCCCACCCCCGAATTAGTATTTGGGCAAGTTTTTAAAAATCACATAAAGTTAACCTCCAGCAGGTCAAGTTTTCAGTACACATAACCCAGTGACTGAGTCTGCTTTTTCTGGCTACTACAGGTACAGGCTAGGTCCAAGCAGCACAAGCTTTGAAACCACCATCCAAGTTTTCAAACAAGAATGAGTAGGAAAACAATTGCTGCTAATACAACATACAAACATTAACATATGCCCCACAAACAGTTTTTTATATCATTAGATTATTTGCCAAAAGCCGGTTCCCTGGTAACCAATAGTTACTGTTGTTATATCTAAACTATTTATACATGTCACAGCTTGCTCCTCCAAGAGAATATTCTATAGTCTTTCAAGAATAAAAACCTGCTTTATTTGGCACACAACAGTGAAGAGGTCTTGCAACATTTGCAGAGGTAGTCAAACAGACCAGTTCAGTGTAAGCAATCACAAAATTTGGTCACCAACCAAACCAGAGTTAATCTCTCAGTTCCTGCAGATTATAAGATTCTGCTTGTTGACTTTTGCATCCCTTTATTTATGTATTGAAAGAACAAGTACCTCTGTGGGAACTCTATTCCGAGACAGTTTAATTATTTATTATGTTTACTTGGGGCAAGTATCGATCATTCTTTTGTGAAATGAGTTAGATTCTTAAATTAAAAACAAACAAAAAATAACAAAAACCCCTCTTCACACAGCATGGATGCATCTTCCCTCAGTAACAAGGTCCAGAGGATCCCTCGCGGTCCAGCTGCTGCTTTCTCTGCTCTACGCGACGCTTTAACTACTGTCCAACCAGATTTTGAGAGGGGCAGGGGTGGGGTGTGAACGAGAAGGCACTCGCCAGAATCACTCAAGAGCCGCTGTGCGACCCTCCTCTTGACTTTGGGCGGTTTGTGGGGCCAACTCCTTTCCTGCCGCCGCTCTCCGCTCCGAGTTTCCAGAGGCCCCCGACCACCCACCGGGGCCCCCCACCAACAGTCCGGCTCCAGCAGGGGAGGGCGGCTGCTTCCCCGCTGACCTCGGGCGCAGAGGGAGAGGGCCAGCTCCCGGAGGCCTGGGCCATGCGCGCCCCCACGCCCGCCCCGGCAGGAGGCGGCGGACTCGGGCTCCGAGCCAGAGGCCAGCCCCGGCGCCGCCGCTGACCCCGCGCGCCCTCACCTGCCGCTCCCCGAAAGCCCCAGCGCCGCGCCCCGCCCCGCCTCCCCACACCCTGGAAGTCGAGGTCCCGGGACCCGCGCAGCAATGGCGCAGCCGGAAACCGGCCCCTCGACTTCCTCAGGCCGGATCCAGGCTGAGCCGGGCCTGTGGGCGGGGCGGGAAAGCCGCGGCTTCCTCCTTCCTGCTTCCGGCCTGGCGGTGAGTCGGGAGAGGGGGTCGGAGCCCAGGGTCCCAGACGCGGGGTAGGGGAGGCTGGAGGCGCCGCTGCCCTGGTTCTGCCCGGTGTCCAGCGGAGGCGGCGGCGGCGGCGGCCGCGGCGCCGCGAGGTGTGGCGGGGCCGACCCCGGATTCCCGGGGGCCGTCCGTCCTGTGAGCCCTGCCGGGCCCGCGCTCGCCAGGGCCGAGGATCGGGGGGGACGTGGCCCCGAGGGGCCGGCGGCCGGGTGGGGTAAGGAAGGGAGACTGAGCTAGGGGCAAACCTAAGCAAGAAGGGGGTGCGGAGGGCGGTGAGATGCCACCAGCTTTTAGGCGCGGCGCGGGTCTGGTCCGGAGAGCAAGCCGAGTCGACCCTTTTCGGAAGGAGGAAGAGTAACATTTATTCCCGAAAATGTGGGAGCCCCGCGCGTTTGGGTCCGAAATTGAAGTGCACGGGACGTGTTTGGCCTGTGGACAGTAACTCCTTTCTTTGTGTTATGGTTAAAACTTGGCCGTAAACCAGGTCCTTCACTCCCGCTTTACTCTTTATTGCAAAGTTCTTTTGCTCGTCTCTGAATCTTGCCTTAGTTAATTCATTACTGGGCTGGAGAACCTGAAGAAACACATGGATCTCAGTAGAGCCTAGTCCCGACTGTGTGGGTAGGGGCGTACCAATTCTGGACGGCTAGGATATTTAACAGTATAGTAGGCACTTTAATGTATTTTCAATTGAAAATATGAAGAAACCGTGGAAAGATATAATTAAAACCATTGGCATGGTTTTGAGGTGATAGGATTGTGGATGATTTATATTTTGTTTTGGTTATCGCTTCTGATTTTTCTAGAAAGAACACGAATTGTATAATAGGAAGACAAAACCTTTAGAGTAAGTTGAGGTGTTTGATTTTGTAATTATGTATCTAATTCTATAAGTAATTGACAACATTTTTAGTATAAAAAGTTCAAGATTTAGGAATGAATATGCAGTAACATTAGTGAGCTAACTTGTCTTTTTATATGTAACCTTCATAAATAATTTTATTGGTGAAATACTTGATCTTGAGTAATTAGGATTCTCTTACAGGGCATTTGCAGTTGTAGTAACTTTCTTTAAATTAGGAAGAAAGAAATAGATATTAAATGTCTATAATGAGCTAGGCAATTTTACATGTTATGTATAGGTTGCATATGTAGAATTTAGAAAATTTCCATTTAAATTGTATTATAATTAACCTGAAAGTTGCGACGTAAAACTTTTTTTCTTTTATCTATTCTTTTCAACCCACCCAGTATATAGAATGTAAATCTTCTCTCAGAAGTGTATGGTAGAGCTAAAGAAGAAGACAACTAACCAAGGGTCGTCTGAAATTGTGATTGGCTCACTAATAACCCCAGGACAAAGTTAGAGAGCACTACTCAAGCATAAGGTAGATGATTTTTTAAATCCCAGCTGAAATTGTAAGTGACTGTATATACACCCGTTCCTACCCAGGTATTCTAATTCTCCACTTTGAATAGAAGTTGACACAAATACGAAAGGTTGAAAAACCTCTGGGACAAAATGGAAAATGTCATTCAAATCCGTACCATCCTCATTTGCCAGCTAGCTCTCCCTTACCAACTCGAAATGGAACAAAATGCGTGGCACCTGTTATGGTTAATTTTGTCATTTATTGAATTTATTCTTATTTATTAAATTGTATCCTCAAGTAGGAGTCCTCAAAGCTGAATGAGGGCATGAAATAGCATGTCACTTTTTGCTTTTATCTCTTTGCTTATGAATGTGGATATTATCGTGGGTCCCTTACCCTCCCCTTTTCATTCCTGGAAACCGCCATCCATTACCTCCCATTCTCCAAGCATTTCACATACTCTGTGGCTTTTCCTTTTCAAACACCAAATTTGATGATTTGTACTTTTGTTAATTAGTACTTAATGGTACCAAGGCTAAGTCAAAAAATGACAAACAGGATTCAGCTGTTTCCTGGAATGAGTGCGTAAAACTCAAGATCCTTATAAAAGTCTGCTGCGAAATAAAGTTTGTCTTGAATATAGGAGGCACGTGAGAATGCATAGTCCTTATGACAGGTTCCACAAGGAATCTTTTAAGTGTCACTTTTCTGGTTGTCCTAGTTATTTTTTCTTAACTGGAGATATTAGTCCTTATTAAAAAATACTAATTAGTACTTTTTAAAAAAAAAACTGAGTGCTAATGGAATTCTAAGTTAACTGATTGTATGATGTGACTTTTTCAAAATTTGATTAACTACATAGTCTTTTTTCCTGTTGTCTTCACCCCCACCCCGCCTCTTTTCCTAAGACTACTACAAAGATGTTTGATATAAAGGCTTGGGCTGAGTATATTGTGGAATGGGCTGCAAAGGACCCATATGGCTTCCTTACAACAGTTATTTTGGCCCTTACTCCGTTGTTTCTAGCAAGTGCCGTACTCTCCTGGAAATTGGCCAAGATGATTGAGGCCAGGGAAAAGGAGCAAAAGAAAAAACAAAAACGTCAAGAAAATATTGCAAAAGCTAAACGACTAAAAAAGGATTGAAGAAATGAACAGCTGCTTGCAACTAGAAGAAAATCATTTGGATAATTGTGAAAACAATTTGGAAGGACCCACTAAGGTTTCTTCTCTGGATTTTATGACAGTAGTATTTAGTAAACGAAGTCTGAGCTTATGAAAGAATCATGTTCTGACCTCTTAAGGTACTGTAGCAACTTTTAGGCTTTGGTGTAAAAGTCTGTTGACAGTTCTTGTAAATTGGCATTTATCATGCTACAAATTCTGTATAGCTGACTTAGTCATTTGCCATTTTGCAGCTTACATACTGAAATGAAAACAGCCTGTGGAGAAAAATGACTTTTGATTATGAACTCCATTCAAATAATGGCTTAAAATGGGGTCATGGTCTGGACAAAGGAAATTAAGAATGTAAAAATCAGAATTATCTTCTCTGAGTGAAAAGTATGCTTTAGCTTCAAAGAGATACAGTACATTAATTACATCTTTTATCATTATTGCTTATTTCTTGGAATAGAATCATTTCTGGCTTTCTTGAAGCAAAATAATATTGAGTACTTCTATTTTCTGCATTTTTCTGATTTTAGCCTTTAAGATACTGGTAATTATTGGTCATTCTGCATTTTTTAAAATCTAATTTTATAAAGAGTTCTCTTATTATCTTGACTATGTAGAATACCACCTACTGGATAAAACAGTTCTTGTACTTATGAACACTGCCATTTTCTTAAAGATGACTTGTTGAGTAACACTATGATTTAAAGCTTGCAGTAAAAATGCCAAACCTTGTAGTACCTTGGAACCAGTTTATTCTTTCTTGTGCTAAGTAGAAATGTGAAGTAGTTAAAATGTCTTCTCAGATAATTTGCTGATTATATAGATACCACTTTTGTTTTTTATTCCATTCATTGTTTTAACTCATATGGTAGTGATGTCCTATACTTTTTGATCAAACAGGTTTGTGGTAAAAATTAAAATTACGAATTTCTTTTAAGGAACTCTTAAGAGTAACAGTTAAGTCAGATTTCATAAGTGGTAAAGAAAGGCTTAAAATTTGGAAAAATTTTGTTGGGCATAGTAGTAAGTGGGTGAAAAAGGTAAATTATGTCAAAATGAGAATGTGTTATAATTAGAAATAAAGAGCTAAAGGATATTTCCTTCAGTTAAGTAGTATAACTGGAACTTTTTACTATTAAACATGGCTTTTATAAATGATTGGTCCAATAATTTTATTCACTGTCAGTATTTAATAGCTTATTAATGTTTTCCTCATCTCTGATAATGAATTTTGAATTACAAAAAATTCTCCAACAGCTTTCATTTAAAAATGAAAGTAGATATTGAAATAAATTTGATACTTTTTTATAAAGAGGTCCTGGGATTTTGTTTTTTGGGGGGGAAGTAATAATTCCATAATTCAAATTAGATATGTTATGAAAGTTACACTATTTAAAGGGTTACGAATTTCATTTAGAACTAAACATACTTGTGAAAGTTGAGGGCAATGTTTCGCAAATATGAGAACCTAAGGACTCCTGAGAATGTTTATGGACTGGTTTGAACAACACTTATTACAGTAGCCCCCCACCCCCCATCTGCGGTTTCAGTTGCCAGCAGTCAACAGGGGTCCGAAAATAACACTACGTCACAGTGCTTATCATCATTCACCTCACTTCATCTCATCACATAGACACTGTATCATCTCACAAAGAAGGGTGAGTACAGTACATATTCTGAGAGAGAGAGACCACATTCAGTATATTGTTATAATTGTTTTATTTTATTATTGTTAATTTCTTAGTGTGCCTAATTTATAAATTAAACTTCACCATAGGTATGTATGTATAGGAAAAAACATAGTATATAGAGGGTTTGGTACTATCCATGATTTCAGGCATCCACTGGGGGTCCTGGAATGTATCCCCCACAGGTCAGGGGGAACTAATGTACTATTGTTCTAGGTCGTCAGTTCCTGCTTGGCACCAGTGTAATCAACACATTGCATCTCCAGGCACTGAAATAATTCAGTGTGTAGTTAGGAGTTATTCAGGTGATCTAAGATATGTTTTTTTTATATTATCATTGAAATTAAAACAAAACTTAAAAAAAAAAAAACCTTATGTAGAACTATTGGCCCTCATGGGTCTGCAGAGCCCAGTTTAAAAAAAACTAGGTTAAGATATATCTAAAATGTTTTTGAGTTTCTGCAATCAAGCTGTTCATGGAATGAATTTATATACATATGTCTTGCTTACGGCCACATTTTAGAGTAAAAGTACTGAAGCAAAAGATATATTCACCATAATTGTCAGTTATCTACTAAAGCTGTGGTTCATTGGTTCTGTTGTGACAATTTAAAGGTATTTATTTAACTAAAAGTCTTTTTCTATAATTTCTGTTAAAGTCTTAACACATGCCAATTTTGTCTTTGTTTGACATATGCTGTTTGTTATTTCTTCAGTTTTTCCTAACATTTATGGGGCCTTTTTATACATGTGAGACCAACAAAGTTTTATCATATTTGTGTCTGTATGTTTGTGTGTGAGGGAGGGGGGATGTAAAATAGTGTGAGGTTTGGGATTCTTCAAAACCATCAGTCTTCTCTGATTGTAACATAGTACTGTTGTTGAAAGAATCTCATATACTAGTATCCAGAATACTAAGTTAAAAAAATTGCCTACCTATTTCTGTTGTTTTTGAAGTTCTAAGAACTAATCAAGTTAATAACCATTTTATGGCTGGTTTTGGGGAAGAAAAAAACAGGCTGCCTGTAACAAACATTTTACAAAAAAAAAAGGAAGTTTGTGTGTCAGAATTTGATCCATAGTGTCCATGTGATAAATTTCAGCCTGGTATTACTGTATCAGATGTGCAAGCGCATTTTTTACTTTTATTTCTTGAAATTACAGTAAGCAAACTGGAAAAAAGCTTAGGAAGCTGTGAGCTGGAAACCCAATGTTGAGATAAATTATAATTAACAGCTCTTCACCCATTCCTCCTTTCCTTATATATGAAGTAAAGGAAAGTGCCAAGGGGCATGTTACACTTCATCTGGTTTTAAGTTACAGGAAGTTTGATTCCTATTTAGAAATGATTGCTTTTATGTTTGCAGTTGGTAATAGATCACTGATTTACTGTATATCCGGAATAACTGTATAAGGACAAATTCTGTATTTCTCAAACATTAAAAGAGATTCCATGTTCAAGTACCAAATGTTTGGGAAACACAAGGTAAAATTTAGGATTCGTTCCTACATGGTTTCTTGGAAGTCTTTTAACTTAATTTATCATAGACTCTCCTCACCTCTGTTTTTTCCCTAAAGAACACAAATACAGTTTGAGAAAGCCTAGTCTAAATAAATCCAGGTTAAGATTTAAATAGTGTGGCTAATGAAACAGCCTTAAAAAAAAATCAATATAACAGTATTGGTTCAAGGCTGAGTAAATTAAGAAATGACACCCAGAAATCTGTTAGAAGTAGAAATGGAAAAGGATAACAGATAACGGGGGAAAAAAATTATTTCCTCCATTTTTGTTGATTTTTAACTTCAGATATCCAAGGCATAGCCAATAGACTTACATGATTAAACCCAACAGCCAACACATTTTCTATACTTGAGCAGTTCGTATAATATAATAATCCCAAACCTGAAAAAAATATGCTGGGTGCATGTATAGCAGAGGCATAGGAACTCAGGAAGGATTTACCTCTGAGAAAATACCTAAGGTATATATGACACTCTTTATTTTAAAATGAACATTTTTACTTTTGAAATTAAAAAAACTTTGCATAGATTTGAAGTCTGTCTTGAAGAGATGAAGAAAGACATTTTCCTTAAAAAAACTTGTAAATGCCCCCAAATATAACTATTTAAAATATGAAACATGGTGGACAAGCTAATATTTGATTTAATACTTTAATTCTACTTTGCATGTGTCTGGCCTAAAAGCCAAGTATAAAGATTGTTTAGAAAGGCAATCAGTTAGGCCAAGATTATAGTTCCATTTTTATGTAGGACACTTAACTCTGTTTCTATACCACCTAAAACTGCAACCAGTCACCCTAAAAAATGTTAGTCTTGAAGCAAGGAGTGTGGATGGATTACTGCAACTTCATTCCCACCTCTCAATCACTTTCAAAGTGCATGCTCTACTAATAATGGTGGGCCAGTATCATCATCTTACTGTAACATAAGGTATTTTCCCACAAGCACTCTTGGCTAAGATTTTATTTTGCTGCTTACGTAAAATATATTTTTATTTTTTTATTTTTATTTTTTTGTGAGGAAGATCAGCCCTGAGCTAACATCCATGCCAGTCCTCTTTGCTGAGGAAGACCAGCTCTGAGCTAACATCTATTGCCAATCCTCCTTTTTTTTTCCCCAAAGCCCCAGTAGATAGTTGTATGTCATAGTTGCACATCCTTCTAGTTGCTGTATGTGGAACGCGGCCTCAGCATGGGCAGAGAAGCGGTGCGTTGGTGCGCGCCCAGGATCTGAACCCGGGCCGCCAGTAGCGGAGTGCGTGCACTTAACCGCTAAGCCACGGGGCCGGCCCATAAAAGATATTTTTAAATGAAAACTAAAATTAATGTATATTCTGTCCTATGTTAAGATATTTATAAACAGACTGTATGGCATTTGTTTACAAAAGATGTATATAGAATATAAGAAGCTAATAGGAATTTGGCAGTAGAAATATTCTGGCATGTTAGAACATTTCTCCTGTAATCTAGGATTCAAGAACACCTTAATCTTAATTTACAATCAGTTATACTACAAATTTTACCTCTTTTTATACTGTGTAGTGGCTAGTTCCTTTTTTGCCTCTATGGTAAAATGTTATATTACTCTGTATGGATGTAAAGAGACAGAATGGCTAACCTGATTTTAACAGGGCTGCTGGAATGTTAGTATTATAACCTAGGGGCTTTTTTTGTCATTCATGAAGTATGTTATGGTGATTATATTTGATTACGTTTTAGTATAAAGTTGTAGTTTTCTTAGTTTATTTCTTAATTAAAATTTTTAACTTCTATTAAGTAAAAATCTTAACTTAGGTTTTTTAGGAATTCATTGTTAATATTTAACCAAGGATTTCCTTGTATTATTCAAAGCATTAAAATTTGGGTCATTATTCAGTACATATTTATTGAGCACCTATTATAACGCCAAACACTGTGAGAACTCTATGTTAGAAGTAGAACTCTATATTAGCAACAAAAACTTGGTTGTGTAGTGTAGGGCCCTCCCTTCAAAAATACTTTTGTATGTAATCAGTGTTTTAACATTGTTATCTGTCTACATTGTTCTTCAATATACAAGCCACTGGAATCCCCACTATCAGTGGAATTGCTTTCTGAGAACCCTCCCCTATTTTCCTTTTTCTCAAAGTAATTTTTAATGTCATGGAACTCCAGTTATATCCATTTCTCTGTTTACTGTCCTTTCAGACTTTTGTGATGGATTGTCTACTTCTATTGGTCCTAATTCCTCTCTTCAAACTCTAACCTCAATCCCACCATAGTTAGCTTTTGTTCCATCTCCAGAAATAGCAGTCTTCTCATTTTTTTTCTTTTTTTGGTGAGGAAGATGATTAGCCCTGAGCTAACATCTGTTGCCACCTCCTCTTTTTGCTGAGGAAGATTGGCCCTGGGCTAACATCCATGCCCATTCTCCTCTACTTTATATGTGGGATGCCCACCACAGCATGGCTTGATAAGCGGTGCCTAGGTCCACGCCCAGGATCTGAACCTGCGAACCCCTGGCAGCGAGGTGGAGCATGTGAACTTAACCACTACACCACTGGGCTGGGCCCTCATTTTTTTCTTTTATATTTGATCATTTAGGAGAGCTCATTATTTACCCTTATCTCTTCTACCAAGACATATCTTGGGTGGTTCCTAAATGATCATAAAGATCCAAAGTGTACTGAGCACTTACAGCTACGTGATACTTCTCAAGGGAGCAGTCCAAGGAGGGAAAAACTAGGCAAATTCATAAACACAGAATGATGACTAAATCAAATGAAGGATTTAAGTCTAAAAGAAGTTAGGTTTCTATAGTGCATAACCTCACATTTCTTATGTATACTAAAAACGAATTCTTAAGCACAATGGAATAGAGAACTATTGTACAGTCAGAAAATACAAAGTAACTTTTTACTACTTTTATTCGTTAAAGTAGTCACATACATATATATGAAATGATTTTACC